AACACACACATAAACACACATACACACACACACATAAACACACATACCCACAAACACATACAAACACACGCGCGCGGATACATACCATTTAAAATTTGTTTGCCCAGCGCCGGCGTAGATATACAAGCAACTGCCATGCGATATCATCAAACTCGCCATCATCGATCATTTATACAAACATACCTATCCCACTCAACTATACACCAAAATATACTCACAAAAATACAATTATACATAGGCACACATCACTGATACAAAAATGAAAAATACAAAAATATACAAATACACAAAAATATACAAACACACATACGGATACTGGTGAGATTTATAAAAAAACATTCAATGATAAATAAAATATCAATGGCCTTTGAATTTACAAACATTCAAACAAACGAAAAAGGAAAACACACACAAACACACAAACACACGCGCAAACACACTCACACAAACACACACACACAGCACAACTTATGAACCACTACTAGAAAACATTTCGACACACACTTGGCCAGCAATGAAAGGAATTTGAAAAAAATAATTACAACAATAATAACAACAACAACAACAACAATAATAATAATAATATCGATAGTGATATAATAGATGCTGACAGGCGAAGAATGATGGAGAGAATGTACAGAGGTGTGGGAACATTTTAAAAGAATGAAGTGGGAATACTTGAATGAAACATTGAAGTGAGATTGATAGAGAGAAGGAAAGAACAACAAAGCGAAAAAAGAAGAAAAAGTATGGAAAAAAAGGAAGAGAGAAAACAAAGAAAGAAAAAGAAAGAGAGAGAGAGAAAGAGAGTGAGAGAGCGAGAGAGTGAGACAGTGAGAAATAGCATATGGAGACAGTGTTTCAAAGAGTTGGATTACATAAAAATTTCGCCCTTGAATAACTTGAAAACACTGAGTGAAGTAAGTTTAACACAATGTTCCGCTATTGAAGTAGTAATAATGTATAAAAAAGCAATAGTCGTAGTAGCAGTTACTGTTTTGTAGTAATAGTAGTATTAAGTAGTAGTAGTAGTAGTAGTAGTAGTAAAAGAGTAGTAGTAGTAGTAGTAGTAGTAGTAGTAGTAGTAGTAGTAGTGTAGTAGTAGTTGTTGTCGTGTTAGTAGCAGCAGCAGTAGTAGTAGTATCAATTGTTTGAAAATAAGTATGTATTATAACATGTGTAATAATGTTAACAGAGTAGTAAGTATCATTATCAGTAGTAGCAGCGATTGTAGCAGCATCTGCAGCTGTAGTAGTTGTTGTTGTTACTGCCTAGTAGTAGCGATTGTAGCAGCATCTGCAGCTGTAGTCGTAGTGGTTGTAGTAGGACGAGTCTAACTAAATCTGTCAGCAATAATACACACAAATAAGCATGAATTAAAAGAGTGCACACGTTTTCCAAAGGATGAGCATATACAGGGATTTCTATGAAATCGAACCCAGACACTGCGACACAGGAAGAGGCGTCTCTAACCACGACGCCATCTCGCAATAAGTATTTGTAGTAGTTTTAGTAGTAGTAGTGTTTTTTAAAGTTATAAGAGTAGTAGTAATAGTAATCGGAGTGTCGGTACCAAACAAGCAAATTATCAGTTCCCCAATGTTCTTTGAGAACTCTCTTCAAGGGCTGATGATGGCGATGATGTTGAGATTGTTGTTGTTGTTGATGATGATGATGATTGAGTAATAATGATGATGATGATGATGATGATTGAGTGATGATGCTGATGATGATGAAGGAGGTAGCAATCAAAGTTGATGACGATGGCGACGCAATAATTCTTTGGAACCCATTCCAACCAAAAGGCATAGACAAATAAATCCTAACATAAAAGTTCAACACACACCACACAAACACACACACAAACACACTCACACACAAACGCAAGCACATATTTACTACATAAACAAGGGAATCCTATCAATCGAATCCACACCAACATAAATACATACATAAAACCACTTATATAAACCCAGACAGACAGAAAGACACACACACACACATACAAAAACACAGGCATACAAAATCAAGGGCACACACACACAAGCACACAAACATACACACACACATACACCAATATACATGTACCTCTATTATACCAAATAAACACACACCAACACACACACAGACATACAACACAAACATAGCAATAAATAAACATTTATAAATATTTTTATTGATTTTTTTTACACACCATTAAAAACACACCTACATATACAATTAGGCACACTTAGTCATTCGCATACGCTTCTATTTAAAAGCTACGTACGATTTTTGTTGTCTGTCATTCCAATTTGACAGATATTTGTAATTCTAATTAATAATATTTATTATTAGTTTTATATAAATTAATTATTATTTTTTATATTTATTTATTACAACTATTGTTATTATTATTGCCATTCCACAAATTGTTTCGGTAACTTTTGAAAATTCAAACTCACAAAGGCTTCATCAATGTTATTGGCGTTTGCCGAGCTGATTATGATGAACAAAATTTATATTATTGTTGTTATTATTGTTTTGTTGTTGTTTGTGCGTGTGTGCTTGTGTGTAGTGTGTGTGTGTGTGTGTATGTATGTTTGTTTGTTTGTATGTATGTATATGTGAATGTTTATGTAGGTGTGTATATGCATATACTTTCATATGAGTATATATTTGTTTTTGTGCATATCTATGTATGCTTGTATGTTTATATATGTTTTATATATATAAATGTATGTGTGTGTGTGTGTGTGTGTGTGTGTGAGTGTATGGTGTATGTATGTATGTTTGTATGCATGTTTGTATGCACGTTACAATTCAATGGAGCTACCCTTTGTGGAATTTTTGTTTGCATGCAATCTTTGTGCATCATTAATGATCCATAAATATTTTTGGGGTACATTTCCTACAATATCTCAGTTCATTTATTTGTATTGACACAGACACGCACACACACGTACACACAGAAACACAAACACATTCACACAAATATGTATCAGTGAGTTTAACTTTATTTGGAGGTTTCTAGAATCATAAATTTTCATAATCTTTTTATTTCTTCCAGATTCTTCATTAGTTCATTCAGAAAATTTTAAATGCTTCATTTATTTATTCATTGTTTGTTTGTTTATTTATCTATTTATTTCATTTTGTTTTTGTTTTTTTTTCATTAAATCTTCGCGGTCAACTTAACTTTTTGTGTCTGCGAATTCAATGAAATGATGTTATAAAAATGACTTTCCGGAACAGGCTTCAGACGACTTTATTCTTTTTTTTCTTCTTTTTTTTCTTTTTTTTCTTCTTCTTCTTTTTCTTCTTCTTCTTCTTTTTCTTTCTCTTCCTCTTCTTCTCCTTCTTTTCCTTCTTCTTCTTCATCTTCTTCACCATCTTCTTCTACTTTTTCTTCTTCTTATTATTATTATTATTATTGTTATTGTTGTTGTTGTTACAATTTATGTTTTGAAAATTCTCGCTGCTATTAGTTTAGCAATTTTATTTTACTTTTATTCTACAAATAATTTTTTTATTTTTAAGAGTTTAGCTGTCGGAATAATTTGATCGGCGAATCATTTAAATTTCAAACTCCATTATAAATCTTGTCTGTTCTTTGACGAGAAATATTTATGAGTTTGTGTGTTTGTGTGTGTGTGCGTTTGCGTGTGTGTGTGTGCGTGTGTGTATATACGTGTGTGTGTGTGTGATAGATAATGTATGTGTGTGAGTTAGTTTGTAAAAATCTTCGTAGGCGTGAGTATGTAGAAGTTGGTAAGGACATATACCAATTTGTTTGTGTGTTTGTCCTGTGTGTGTATATACGTGTGTGTGTGTGTGTGTTTGAGTGTGGGTATGTTTGTATGTGTGTGTGTGTATGTGTGTGTGTGTGTGTGAGTGTGTGTGTGTGTGTGTGTGTGTGTGTGTGTGTGTGTGTGTGTGTGTGTGTGTGTGTGTGTGTGTATGAAGACACGTATTTATTTATGTATACAAATTGTTTATCCACAATGTTTTGAAGTGATTCCAGAGCGGGTGTATGTTTATTTTTCTCTTTTCATTTTTCTTACCAGAAAGTTCTCCAGTGCTTATTTATTCAGCATATGTATGAATAAATTGCATCGGTAAATATACAAAGAAATACAAGAACCGACGGATAAAAACATACACATGCATACAAACATAAACACATATATACAACAGTCACCCACATAAATATATATATTT